AATTTTATATTAGACATTCGATATTATACACATGTTACATATATCTACATGTAGTATGTACATACAAACACAAAATGTGCATATGCAGTGTATTTCTTCAATTTCATAGCCTACCTCGTGGCGCATCAACGTTAATTCATTCCTTGTCGCGTTCGCAGTGATTGGCAGCTGCATTATAACCAATAATATGCATATGTATGTTGTGCTTTGTTGCTACAAGAGTTTTGCATTTGACTTGAAAAGCGCTGCATGTGGCTACCACTGCGTCACTCTGACGCTCTTCCATCTGCACTCACCACTTTATAACTTAATCCATTTATTTTCAACCACACTGTTTGTTTCTGCTTGCAGATATAATGACATTTCGCCGTTGGAAAATCATCATTGTTCAATAGCATTCCGCTTGCTGGAGCATCCTGAGTGTAATATCTTCAAAAATTTCAGCAGTGACACATTCAAGTGAGTACAAAAATGCAAAACATAAATTTTTGAAACAAAAAAATGAACGAAAGTATTTAACTCGATTTCTCTCGTTGCTCGTACAACTCAAAAACAAACTTAAAAGTGAATATTTTCATTTTAAAACCAAAATTGAATATGCCAAGCAAGAACTGCGCTGCAGTTTATGTGTGTGCCTGTGTGTGTGGTGTGCGTGCAAAAGTTTATCATTTATTTTCCCGGTCATGAATTTTGCAAGAGTTGAAATTTATTTTTGGGTTATCATTTTCAGTGCGCTCTTGTTGCGTGCAGTGAGTGTGAGGCGTTGCAGTTGAGGTGTAAAGTTTCGTTTACGCAAATTTCATTATATTGCTCAAATTCTGTAGTGTGGGCTGGCTGTTTCATGCGTACTCTTGATACTATATATGATATACAGAGTTACTCATCTAGTTTGGACCGATTTTTAATTAACTTAGAGGCAGTCAATATATTTTCACTAATCCAAGTTCTTAATCGCCTGATTTTGCAATAGCACAGCTCCTATACCTTGATACATATTATTTTCGCACAAAGTTTATTCTGGTGAATTTCGTTGTGAATGTCGGGCTTATAATAACCGAACCAAGTTATAGCTGTTCTCAGATAAATAAGAAAAGATTGCATCGCAATCTCTCTCTCTCTCTCTTTCTCTATCTCTATCTCTATCTCTATCTATCTCTATCTCTCTCTTTCCCTCTCCTTCTCTCTCTTTCTTTCTGTCTCCCTCTCTACCGCTTCCTTATCTCTTTCTCTCTCTATCGCCCTCCGTTTCTTCCTCTATTTCTATTTCCCTTTCTCCCTCTATTTCACTCAAGCGGTGTTCCATTAGTTTATAGAAAATTAGTGAAGAAGGAGTGTGTTTGTACAAGTACCTGTAGTTAGCATAAAGAGAAATCGAATGCTAATCCACTCTTATATGAGGCTATAAAAATATCTCTTATCTGTGAGGATCGCATTTATTAAAAAAATATCCACCAAACTTAATATAAGTTTGGTTCTTGATAGATTCTACTAAAACATCTTTGAAGATAATAGCGCTGATGTTCAAGAACCAATTGTAATTAGGTGTGGTGATGCTAATTCCATGTGATTACTATCAGTGCTCCTTGAGTGGAATACGAAGTTTCAAAAAATAAATTTATATTTTATATAATAAATATAAATATATACTTTATTATATATTGATATATTTATTATATATTTATATATTGGCAAATCCTAAAATTGGGAGCTTTTCTGTTAGGCATAGAACCATACCCAAAAATGTAACCGAAATCAACCCAAATAACTTTAATTTTTATAAAGTCGCGTTTTATGTTTCAACATGATAACGGTTATCTGCGCGAATATTTTCTTTCCAAAAAATACAAATCCATCGTTTACATACATGTATGTATGTGCGTGTGTGTCTATGTGACTGTTTGTTCGCTGCATCAAAAAAATATGTCCACTAATAAAGCTAATATTTATGCCATGCCACGTGGATGACACACGCCGTTATTGCGCTGCGTTTGCACACAAGCATTGCGTTCATCATAAATTAGCTATTTAATCAAATTTCGTACAAATTATGACAAAATTTTATAACTCTATTTGCGTGGTGGCAGCCAACAGCGCCTAAATATATGCTGACGGTGCTGAAAAGCAAATACACACACATGCACATATTAACAGATATATGTCTGTACGTACAAAAATATTTGCTCGGAATTATTTGGCTTGCTGCAGGAAGGGAAATAATTTGATGATTTTGTTTATACAAATGTGTATGTATTTGTATATTATATACATGTGTACATATATATTTTTGTATATAACTCGATATATACTCTTATATATACATATTTGTAAATGCCAATGTATGTACATATGCATTCTCGAATTTACTTTAACACCGCGTCCAACCATCCGTAGCATATCCTCAGGCGCTTTTAATGCTCAACTGATAAAATTACAGTTGCCATAGCGACTTGTATGCCATATTGGCATAAAACAAAATTTTATGTTGCAACTGTGACAGCTACTAATTTGGAGCTGTCAGATACATACCTATTTATAGCCACACACATACACATGCTTATAAAGAAATTGTCTATGTGTGTGTGTGTGTAAATGCATTTTATTCAGGCTTGCAACAGTTATCTGCGTGCTCACCACAAATGAGGCAGCCCGTGGTAGCGCAACGTAAAATTTTTGGGGCATACACATATACAGTCATATCATACGTAAATATTCGGGCGTGGTTGAGGTGACCTTAAACTCAGTTTGTGCTTAAGTTTACAATAAATCTCATTAGTAGTTAAGTGTGTTTGCATTATATTACGTATGTATTTAGTAATGCACTTTTATATACACACATATGTGTGCGCACATTTGCTACGGCCCCTTAAAATATGCATCTCTTATCGACGTGCATAATTGTAATGCAAAATTTTATCAGTTTTACAAAAAATCTGAAATTTTGAGCTAGTATTAGTAATGATCTACATAAATTCAAATAACGAGGGCTTTTTATTTTATTTGAGTAATTTTGTAGACTAACATTTTCTATTATTTATTACATTTTCTATTCATGAGTAATGTACGGTTCGCTATTTCAATTCGAATTGTTGCAAAAAATGAATGCAAACGCTCTTTTGATTCGTTTTTCAATTTTTGTTTTTAAATTTTTTCAAATTTTTATACCTTTCAGTTTTCATGAACACATATTATTATTATTAGTCGTTTTTAGATTAACCTAGGTAATTTTTTCGCAATTTTTATAATTTTTAGTTTTCATTTAATTTGATCTGTTTTTTTGTGGGCTATTTTTATATACTCAGCAATTTTAACTTTTTGGTTCTTAGGTGTTTCTTTAATTTATTTTGTCTTTATTATTTTTAAATTTCTTTGTTTAAAGTTTTTGTTTAATTATGTTATTAGAAATATTAATTTACACATTTTGATTTTTGATGACTTTTTATGATTTTTTTTTACATATTTATGATTTTTTTAGCTTTTGTTATTTTTAACTTCTTTTTTCAATCATTAACAGTTATTTAATTATCATTTTGTTTACTAAAAGTATTCAATTTGTTAATCAAAAATATTATTTTTTGGTTTTTAGGTGTTTCTTTAAAATTTTATTTATTTTACCTTTTTATATTTCTAGTTTCTTTGTTTATATTTTTTGTTTAATATTAATTATTATTTAGAATTATTGATTTCGTATTTTAAAAAATTTTTTTTTTACAATTTTTTATTTTTACTTGTTTTGTTATTTGAAATTTGTTTTGTATTAGTTTGTTCCTTAGTTTGATTTACTATCATTCAATTGCTGTTTGTTTTGCTCGCATATTAATTTCAATGGCGCAAACAGGTTCATGTTAATTAAATGTTTTTGCTAAAATAAATATTTTTAGTTTTTTCTAATTTTTTTCGGATTATTTTAATATATTTGTTACTTTTTACCTTTTTCGGTTTTGTTTTTTGGTTCATTCTACTTTTTGGTTTTTATTTTATTAACTCCTTTTTTTTTTTTTTAATTTTAACTCCTT